GGACACCGAGGCAGACCCGTCCTCCATGGCCCCTCCCTGGAAACCTGTATGTGAGCAGCAGGCCGAGGCATCAGAGGGGGCGGGGGGCCTGCTTTTCATTTCATTTGAAATATTTTAGTGTCCCTCTCCTTCTGGCCCCCCTTTGTTCAATTCTGGGGTCCCAACCTCAGGGCGGTGTGGCCTCTCATGGGCTAGGGACCAGGGCCCTCTCAGGGACACGAAGGAGTGGGCTTCGGCACTTTTCATCTGGAATTGATCTGAAATCGGAAGAGGTAAACGGGCCTGTGTTCCCTAAAGGACGCCAGCACCATGCAAAGACAACCTGTGCACTGGGAGGAGTTCCTTTCCTCGACCCCGAGTGCCCAGCAGAGCCCTCGGCCGACATCTGCACTAAATGCCCGTGTCTGACCTCTGCCTGCCTGTTGCTGTGAGGCCAGCCCAGAGCAGTGTCCACCTCAGGCCTTCCTCACGCTGCTCCTCCTCCCACACCCCGTCCTCCTCAGCTGGCCAGTACAACAGCCACACGGAAGGCCCGGAGAGGGCTCACAAATGGGGGTGACAGGTTACCACAGGTCACATCAGAAAACAGAAGGATGCAGCCCCTGGTCTCTTCTCAGCACCTCTTCTCAGCCACGTGCCCCCTGGTCCTCTGCCCCGCTTGTCACTCTGACTCGCAGCCCCATAGTCTCTGGCCCCATGGGGAGGTGGCATGGCATGTTCGGGGCCTGCGCTCTCTGCTCTGGGCCGGCCTCCACGGCTCAGACAGAGAGATGTATGTTGGACATGCTGTTCTGATCTTGGGGTTTGTTCTCCACTGGGACGGCTCCTGGAGTGGCCTTGGTGATGGTGCGGGTTTTGCCTTTGAGCAGCTCATTCCCTCAGGGAAGCAAAGGGGTCACCCCCTGTACACAAGTCAGGACTTTCCCCCAAAGGCCACGTTTACTGCCCCCGAGAGTTTCCCAGCCTCCCCCCCGCCCCCCGCCCCCAGAGCGGCTGGAGGTTTTGATCTGATAACCTTGCGGAGGGAGGGGGGGGCCACAGGAGAGGTTCCTTTCACCCCAGCCCGAAGCTCAGTGTTTCCAGTCTCACGGCCGGGAAGAAAGACAGAAGTCTCAGTGGTGAGGAAAGAGCCACTCAGCCCCTCCACACCTCATCTGCTGGTAGCAAAGGGGATTCGTGGGGTGGGGGAGTAAAGTCTTCATCACCTCGGCAGCTGGCTAGTGAAAGTGGCAGTGGGCACAGATGCACCCTGCTTGCCTTGTCTGAGGATTATGGGCTGTTTTTGTCTCTCTCCTGTTCGCTGGGTGCTCACAGTGGTTCACTTCACACCCAAGTGTGTAAGACACCATCCTCTCTAGCTCACGTCCTAGAAAAGTAAGGACCACACATCAAGACAGACAGAAGGACTCAGGGGTGAGACCCTCTTCCGGAGCAGGGAAGAGATTCCCAGCTGTAGGAAGCGCAGCTGCCTGGGATTCCACGGAGTGTGCTATCTTTGACTGTCTGCTTCTTCAGGAAGGGAGCATGTCTTCCAGACACATAGGGGCACTCAAGCTGGCGCTCTGCTGACCGTTCTGGGGTCAAGCTGGTCTGGAAGGGCAGTTTGTGTTCCTTCTCTGACTCCCCAGGCACCCCTCTGAGGCGCCCCCCCCCCCACTTCAGGAGTCCCTGGGGTGCCAAGGGACCAAAAGTGGAGGTCAGTGCCCACCCAAGGGCACCTGGATGGGAAGGCCTAGCACGCTCACTTCAAAAACTCAGCAGCCGAAAGGGCTGTGGAGCACACGGTCACCACGAGGGAGGTTGTTGGACCCTTTGGGGGATTAGAAAAAGCACAAGCTAAGTCCCTAGTGGATATGGCAGTCAAGGGGCCTTCAGGGAATATTCCTCATTTCCTCCTTCTGGGCTCCCTCTGCAGGGAGCTGCGGCAGCCAAGCCTTGGCAGATCAGCTGTGAGCGGAAGGGATGTGCTCTCTCCTGGGAAGAAGCATGCTGCGTCCTCTGTCCTGGAGCAGCAGTGCCCGATGCCACATCATGACGGCACCTGGCAGTCTCCCAGGCAGAGCCTCCACAAGACCTGTGCTGCCTGGTGGGTGCACACCTTGTAACACCCTTGTCAGGTGCCATGGTGGCAGCCCCACTCCCACCCAGCCCACGCACAGCAGCACAAAACACTGCCCAGTGCTGCGCCAACCTCTAAAGGGTCCTTAGGTGGAAGCCGTGATTGCAGCCACCGTGCCAATCCATCTCCCTGAGGATCATCCCATTTGCCAAAGATGATGTCCTTCCCAATGACGGTCCTTCTTGGTACCGTGTCCAAAGTATGTGAGACAACGTCTGTCCATCCCCACCTCGAAGGAGCACTCTGGCTGAACCTCTTCCAAGACAGAGGTGTTTGTTCTCCTGGCGGTCTGGGAGACAGTTAATGTTCTCTGTCAACACCATCATTCAAAGGCATCCATTCTTCTTCCTCCTTCCTCGTCCCCCTTTCTGCTTTCACATACATATGAAGCGATGGAAAAGAGTGTGACGTGGGCCAGACAAAACTTAGTGCTCAAAGTGCCATCCTTACTGACATGACTTGGCATACAGAATAAGCAAATACCCTCCCAGGATGTGTAAGGTGTGGCGTTGGCAGCCAGGAAACAGAGCACTCATGGTTCCCAGAGGAAGGGAAACAGAAGCCCGTGTTACACAATGATCCAAAAATTGCTCAACATGTTTTACATCTATCTTGGAAGACAGAAATCCCCTAACCTAAATGTGACCCTAGAAGCACTGGAAACACTCGTTCACTTTTGTCAAGATTGGGAAAAGAGCTACCTGGTCAACCAACTGGAAGAGATCCATATTTCTACACTTTCCAGAGAAAGATGACCCCACCTTGTGTGCAAATCAGAGAACACTATCATTAATAGCACATGCAAGTACATTTTTGTTGCAGCAACATTGTAGCCACACATGACAGGGAGCTGCCAGAAATTCAAGCAGAAATCAGAGAGGACCTAGAACAGGATCCTCATTGCTGACCTCAGATGGCTCTTCTGAAAGCAGGGAATCCAGGAAGATGTTGACTTGTGTTGTCTTGACTTTGTGAAGGCATTCAACTGCATGGATCATAATAAACTATGGATATAAAGAAAAACAGGAATTCCAGACCACTTCAATGTGGTCTTGTGGAACCTGTACATGGATCAAGAGGCAAACATTTGAACAGAACAGGGG